GGGCGTTATAATGTGACGGTCAATCCCACTATTCGTTGGTAAAAGAGTAGCCCAAGAGTTGAGGGTGGGTGGTGATGACTAGCTGCCTTCCCTCTAGTCTTACACTGCTAAATTAGGGACGGCTAGCGCAGATAGCCCTCGTGTAGCTTTGCGCGAAATTCAAAAACAAACAAGTTTAGACAGTGCAATTTTTAATGCAGTTAAATATCCATAGGTTTAGAAATTATCTGAAAAACTAATTTATTCTTAAAAACCCTTGTTTCCCTAATATTAGCACTTGGATAAAACTTATCTTTTGTATAGAGTATAATATAATGCCTAGTTTGCTGCAGTCATACGAAGCCTGTCAAAAACTTGCATGCACATAGCTTTTTTCTCCTAGCTTATCTCCAAAAGTTTCAAGAGCCACAGGCCTCTTGTTTACTTAGCCCAGCCCTCGATGTGTAATACTAGATATTAATAAACAGACGCACCCTCGTCTCTCTATTTATATATTCTATCCAAGTCAAAAATGACTGGAAAGCTTAAATAATTTTTAGGCGTCTACTTATGGTTTTGTCGTGTACTTAAACAGTTGTTTCATCTTCCCGATTCACTCAGTTTTTAAGTACTATTCTAGCCTCACTAAACAGGGACAAGCATCTTACGCTTCAAGAGAAAATTAATGTTTTTAAACAGAAACTTTTAACATTCCTAACAAAGAGCGTTCCTTTATCAAGCATAAAAAACGGCATTTCTTAACTTTCAGGTCACGTCGAAGCTCTCGTGTGCAGCGAGAAGTGGTGTTAATGTTTAATACTGTGCCAATGGCAACATTATCCATTGTAATATTCCATCAAATACTAACGAAAGATGGCCAAAATCTCATATAGTTATATAAGCTACATTTCTAACCAATCAGCTTGAGGCCTGAGTGTCTCCTAGCGGAAAAGGATGAACGAACCAGAGAATGTTTTTATTAGAAATACAGTTTTTTTGTTGTTTTTTTGTGCCTTAAAGACGTTCACTTCGTACTCCTTTACTCCTTGTGTTTCTTTTTTCAATGACAAAAAAACACATCAATGTTAAACTTATCATCCTTTTGGAATACTTAAGAACATAACATTTGGTGGAAAATCACATGTTTATTTAGCTATTACCGTAGTAAAATATATAGAACTTATAAAATATTCTAATTAACTCTATGAAAACTCATCCTCAGTACCATCAGTACATTTGGTACATTATGATCAGTAGTGTTTGAGTTATTCTATAATTGGGTCCAGCGAATTATAGGCATTACAGTACTCAAACATATAGTTATAGCGTGCATCTTTGGTTCAATCTTAATTTAAACATGTTTACGTCATATTAGCAAACTAAAGCTAATGTTTTAATGAGCATTCTCAACCTCTAAAATATGATACATACACGTTTAAAAATGTTGAGGAAAATTTGTCGATTTTTTTGTATTCTCTATTCATGCTTGAAGTCAAATCACTTACTTCTTGAGGTGGGACGTCAAAGGTTAAAGTTCGAAGGTCAACAGTTGTGCAATTTTCGATACACGGTAAGATGAAAAATATTCCTAGAAAATGTAAAAGCAGACTTTTATATTTGTTTCATTCATTTAACTGTGCAAATTTTGTTTAGAACATAATTCTTCTTAATTTTTATCAAAAAACATCAACATTCGATTCACTATCATTAAAATGTTTTTAAACGGTTTAAGAATAGGAGTTGTCTAGTGGTCATAGGCAGTCTTACCTATTTGGCAAACTGGGCAATTACCCGGAGCCCCACACATGGAAGGGCCTCCGATGCTATGCCTTTTAATCTACTTCTGTGAACGTAGTACATGTTTTCACTATGATTTATTCCAATAATTATATACGATTAATGTATCAATTGATTTGTTTTTCGTTTCAGATCATATGTTCTAGATTTAAAGTTTGATTACTGAGTTTTCTTATCAATATGGGGCCCCCATTTACTAAATTCTGCCCGGGGCTCCAGTATGACTAAGACCGCCCCTGCTGGTGGTTTTCGATACAAATAATGAAAACCTTTGTATTAGAAACATTTTGAAAAATAACTTAGTTATAAATTTTTATTTGTGAATATCCTAATAAATCTTTGCAGAATAGCTTAGACGTATAATATTTTTGTTAAATCCGTTATTACTTAATCATAATAAATTAAGTCTAATATTTTAAACTGAAAAGTAAGGTCTACTGAAAACTACTTCAGTAAAAGAGGTGCTACAACTGTGACTTTTACGTTGAAATTTACCGAATAAAATTTGAAAAAAATAATAATTAGAAATTATAATCTGTTTATATAAAACAGGTTCAAGAAATATGGACACTAGAGCCTAGAGAAAAGAACTGGTACCTGGCCCTTTTGATCCTCCGTGAACTAACCGACCTAGTCGAAAAATAACTGTTCTTTCGTACTCCTGAACCACCTGAAAAAGAACCAGAAAAATTACTGTGAATGACGTGTTTACTTTATCTATGTATGCTTTCACAAACAGTTCAAACCATCTAATATAGTTTTGAGTGCACTTAACCTTAAAAAAATTTATACAAACATATATTCTCCAAACTGCCAAAAACTTATTGTGAAAAGATTAGCAAGTTGTATATAATGTAAATTTTAACTTAGGATAAAACACTGGACTTGCATTAAGAAGTTGTAGATAATTTAAGCTCTAACTTAGGATAAAACACTGGACTTGCATTAAAAAGTTGTATATAATTTAAGCTTTAACTTAGGCTAAAACACGGGACTTGCATTAAAAAGTTGTAGATAATTTAAGCTCTAACTTAGGATAAAACACTGAACTTGCATTAAAAAAGTTGTAAATAATTTAAAATATAATTTAGGATAAAACACTGGACTTGCATTAAAAGTTGTATATAATTTAAGCTTTAACTTAGGATAAAACACTGGACTTGCATTAAAAAGTTGTAAATAATTTAAGCTTTAACTTAGGATGAAACACTGGACTTACATTAAAAAGTTGTAAATAATTTAAACTTTAACTTAAGATAAAACACTAGACTTGCATTAATAAGTTGTAGATAATTTGAACTTTAACTTAGGATAAAACACTGGACTTGCATTCACAAATGAAAGCATTAAAATAACTTTTCAATCTTCTAACACAGCTCACCATCTTGTTAGAGTACCTTCCTGTTCATTTATTAATACTTGTATTGTAACAAATATAAGCTCCATTCACTACGTGAAACAGCAAAAAGCGAATATGTGTTCTTTGTACTACTTAACATATTTCTTAAAACGATTAATGATAACTATATCACACACAGTTTTTGTTTTAAAGAAACTTATATAACTAAATGTAATGGTACTTACGAAAAATAAATGGTTATTTTTAGGGCTAACTTAAAATCGAAAGTTTATTGTGATAACAGTAAGTTAGGTATTTTTTTTGCAATATCAGAATTCTAGAACTCAGTAGAGTCTACCCATTATAGACGTTGGTGTAATTCGTGTTCAAAGGTTTGTAAATATTTAATCCAAACCATTAAATGGAACACTTATAGAAGCATGAAAATATTTCTTAAATATTGTGGACAAAAAATTTGATCGTAGCAACTTAACACGAAATGAACCCCTCCTTAGAACAATTAACAAACACCGTAAAGAAACATTAGGTTGAATTGCAGTGATTATATCCGTACGGGACATTATAATTGCGCGTGATTATATCTGTACAGGATATTACAATGAACCCCTCCTTAGAACAATTAACAAACACAGTAAAGAAGCAGTAGGTTGAATTGCACGTGATTATATCCGTACGGGACATCATAATTGAGCGTGATTATATCTATACAGGATATTACAATGATCTCCTCCTTAGAACAATTAACAAACACAGTAAAGAAGCAGTAGGTTGAATTGCACGTGATTATATCCGTACGGAACATTATAATTGCGCGTGATTAGATCTGTAGGGGATATTACAATTGTACGTGATTATATCTGTACGTGACATTATTGAACACCACTATAAAATAAAATTCTGTGCTCTGTGGTTAATTGAAGAAACCCGCTAGGCATAATTTTTTTGTGGGGGGAGGAGGAGGTCAGGAGTATATTATGTTTTTTATATACAAGAAAAGTCGGGCGATAAGTATCATTAAATGTTTTCTACAAGAAAACTGTGTCGACACGTCACTGAGCTAACAACTTTTAAAAGGTTTGATATATATTCTTATGCATAAGTCATCTCACTTCTGATGAATTCTTTCTGACGACTAATCTATATACTGCACGGTAAATGATTGAGTTCCAACTCTGTTTAGATTCAGAGTAAAAAACCTATTACTTAAACTCAAGGACTTATAAGAGTGTAAGAAAATAATCAAGGGAAGAAAAACTGGAAAATGGTTGTATGACGATCAACATCATCCGTATGACTTTAAAAACGGGAAAATGGCTGTATGACGATCAACATCATCCGTATGATTTTAGAAACTGGAAAATGGCTGTATGACGATCAATGTCATCCGTATGACACTTTATTGGGCTGTGGCCAATAAATTCCTTCGTCATACGACACTCATATAATTTACAACCTTTTATTTTTTCCTGATGAACTTGAAAATTATCCTCTGATATATTTTGTTCTTATTAAAATGTATAGGACCTTCAACAAAGAAGTTTCAAATGTTAGTATGAAACCATCTAGATCTGGAGTTCACAAACTTTTGAAGTTGGCATACCCTTCTCCAAATTTAGAACAAATTCGTGTATCCCCATGATTCTGATTTTGAAAATAAATATTTATTTTTTATTTTTTCTCAATAATTATTAATTTTCTTGAACGTCGATCAAGAAGTTGTATTTCTCTTTCCCTCCTTTTGTTTTAGTTTCGTTTTGTTTTATTTTTCTCTTTTCGTTTCGTGTATCCCCACGGGTACGCGTACAACAATATAAGAAACACTGATCTAGATCTGTGGGGTTACGAGTCAATTTTACTTCACCAAAACCCCATAGATATTATACACACTTCATCATTACATGAGGCCTAACCGTATTCCTTTGGTTTGTTGACCCAAGCTATGCTGATGAGCCTTGAATAGACGAAACTGCAATCCACAGCAGAGGATATGGCCAATCAAAGAACGCATTAGGCCACCACGACATAGATTCTCTTTTAAATTTCACCTCTGGTAAAAAAGAAAATACATCTTTAACACATATATACTGATCCATATCATTATATTACTTGTCTTCCGGTGGAATAGAGACAAGTCTACGGACTTACAACGCTAAAATGCGGTGGACTCGGCAGATAGCCCACTGTGGCTTTGCTCTAAAAAACGAAATTAAACTACTGTTGTTCAAAAATCCTATATTCAACGACATCGAAATGAATAAAATGGTATAACCCATCTCTTCCCCGGTAATGAGTTAACTATTACTATGGTAATATGTTCCTAGGAAACATGGTTCATATGGTGGTTAGATATTTTGTGCGCGAACAAGAAATTTTTCTCTTTGTTCTCTGGAACAAAAGTTTAGGTTACTTATTAAATAAGCAAAACATGGGATCTCCATTGATTATGCGAATAAACTAAAAAGTATACTTATGAAATCTCCAATCTCTCTCTCTCTTTTAATATGAAATATTCTAGTAGCGCTATCTTCGTAATTAATAGGTATACGATACTTCTTGTTATTGTATGCAAAACGTTCAAGTATTGATCTTACCAGTGTTCCTACTGCTCATCAAATTCTGAAAGTCACAATTTCGTCACTGTATAAATTTGGTAAAGACAGAAACAGACCCTAAAAGAAGGTTTTCTTGAAATTTCAAGAGTTTTTACGATAGAAGCATATTGGGGAACCGAGTAGTTTTACCGTAAGATAAAATTGGCACTTAAGTTAAAACAAACAAAAAGCATTATTTATATTCGAGTTTCTTTGTCAGTTTTGATCTCTTAATAAAATAGAAAAAAAAAATGAAACCGTAACCTTAAAAATGTTTTTTCATATACCTCATTTTATGTACATGACTTTCAAGAAGAAAGCTAGTGGAACTTACCCTAATGCAGAAAAAGAGCGAAAGTGGAAAGGTCGCAATGACCAAAGCAACACAGAGAAATGTTAATAGAGTTTCACAAAGTCCTCGTTCGGAGGTAACTTCAGCTGGAAAAAAAATGAAGCAAAGTATTTTAGCAGTTAAAAAACATAATGAATAATTTTGCAGAATAGTAAAATTATTCAACCTGTTTTCATTTGACCGGACAGTTCAATAGTCACTGTAAATAGGAGTGCAACATTCAAAGGTTTGAACTAGTTACTGACACACGTGAGTGACTTATTGATTTATTTTATTAATTTCCAAACTCAGATAAACGAATAATTAAAGCCATCAAAAGTCAAGTTTCTGTTTACTGTTGATAACTTTATTTATTTTCCATTATTTCAATCTAGGTAGAGGAAATGCATAGCATAATTATTCATTGTGTGAATTGTCGGCTAAAAATGTGGAGTCCAAAAAAGGTTTCCCAATAAATATTGTTTTTAATTACTCAAATGCTCAAATTGTTGACTTGTCTAATACTGTAAATAATTAACAACAGTAGTATCTTTAGTGGTAATAAGAAGTTTGTTGCTTTACATGTATTTTTCCATCTGAAGGCTCAACGGTAAACTTTAGGGTTTATAACGCTAAAATTTTGGGTTCAGTCCTCGCGGTGGACACAACGTAGGTAACCCACTGTGTAATTTTGTACTTACACAGACAAACAAGCACATAATTTTGATACTGATTATGTATATTTGAATAATGAAGTAATAGATTTAGTGATTGTGTAGAAGTATGAGAAAATTAGCATTTCAAAGTCATATAGATGTACTGATACGGGACATTTTAGTCATAGCTAAAACGGTATCAGCCCGATAGCATATGAGTTTCAGGTGAATCAAAATGGCTGATAAAACGCCACTTTTGAAGCAGCTTATATCAAGATACTTGGTGGGGCGTGCCAGCGACTAGTATATCAACAATTCCTAAGTTTGTTTTTCCTAAAAATATAGGGTAACAATTGTTTTATCAAGTGTATTTTAAAATGTGTGCTGTTGTAGAGGTTCTGTTCATTTAAAGGTTTTAAACTGCGACATCCCATTGTTATCAAAATTACTTTTTTGTGTCGCCATCTTCTCTGGTGTCCATAAAAAACAAAACAACAACACGTGCTCTTACGCTGTCAATCAATCAAATGTTTAAAAAAGAAGTTAAACCAACCATTCACTCCTAACGTATAAAGAACTTCAAGATATAGAAAATAAATCTAATATTTTCACCGGATCTTCCAACATTCGGTTAAAATGAATGTTTCTCCCAGCATTTTTTTTTAATCTTCTGAATTTTTGAAAAAAAATAAATTATGACGTCTCGTTGTATAAAAGTGTCCACGAATAATGTTGCGTTTACACAATTTTATTGGTATCTATAATGACATACATTCTATAAGCTTCGTATAACCGCTATTCTGTTATAGATTATACTGTATAGACCAATTAATCATTTTTCAATCTGTAGCCCTTTAACAGCTGTAATATACTGTTACGTCTCCGTTTG